GAATTAAAGGAAATGAAATGGCTGATAGAGCAGCAAAAGAAGCTCTTACTCTTCCAGGGTAAAGCTATTTTGTCACCATCTGAACTTGCACGACCTCTGAGAGAAACCATATCCCAAGAATGGCAAAGACGGTAGGACAACAGCGCATATAGCAAATTGAAGACAATAAAGAAAGAGGTTCAACCGTGGACCAGCTCCAGACGCAGCAGTCGTAGAGAAGAGGTCGTCCTCACGCGGCTGAGGATCGGACATACTAGACTGACTCACCTCCACCTCATAACAAAACATCTTATCCCCAGATTTCAAAAGTGTAACTAATCACTAACTATAAAACATATTTTGGAAGAGTGCCCTATTTACACCGTAAGGTTAAAAGATCTCGGAATACCCCAGAATATATCAGCTTCCCTGGGAAATCAAGAAGAAATCGTTACCAAAGTCATCGTGTTCCTGGATATTGAAAGACTTATAGAACATATATGACAAGCTTATAATTAATGATCCTTTGCAGATTTATTATTATTTTATTTATTTATTATTTTATTTTTTTCATTCGTTCATTTCAAGTTCATCTGTTTATTAATCTCAATTCATTTATTGATTTTACTGCTATTTTTTTTTTTAAGTTTATTTATTTATCTATTCTATCTTATTATCTATAAATGTCTATTATAATCCTTATTTATTTATTTTATTCTATCAACCCATTCCTTAATTTTTTTTTATTTTTATATTTTGTAACAACCACCTAAACAGTATTAAGTAGTGTTATTTAGTTGATCGAGCGCTTATGACCTGGATGTTTTGCGCCTAGACATCGAAACTAACAAACCAAGTCCCACAAAATGGTCAGTGTGTGTGGGATAGTGTTGCCCAAAATCGGTCTTGGTCTTACGCTTGGCAAGACCAAGACCAAGGCCGGCTAACTATTGCAAGATCAAGACCATTACCGGTAAAAAAATAATCGATTTTTTTATTACAAATTAAGGAAAAATAGTTACTAATACTTGACAATCTTAGTTATTATATGTAAATAATTGGTATAACCAATACATTTTTGCCATTTAACTCCTCTAATTTTTCATTCGGGCTTAGTTAGGTTTCTCCTATCTAAAAAATTACAGTAATATCTCTATAGCAATATGTAACTGCAAGACTGTTGCGAGACTCTTGCGCAAGACCAAGACCATGACCAAGACTGAGTTTGCAAGACTAAGACTCGTCTAGCATTTGGGCAACACTAATGTGAACAGCCTAGCTTAAAAAAAAAAGTCGTAAGACACTGAAATTGCTTATTTTAGATTTTTATAAGTCTGAGATGTTACAGTAAAATATTCGTAAAAATCGGCTAACTGGAAGTGGCATTTTATATAATGGACTAACACAATTTTACGATTTTCTCGAAGACGATTTTGATTAAATTCATCATTTCAGTGTAAAATTAAGCAGTTTTAAATAAAATGTAGTTTTTATTCTGATTGATGTTCTCTAACATGGCTTAAATGGCTAATTTTCAATATTAGCTTCCCCTAAAGTACCTTTATTTTTTTTAATTTGAAATAATTAACTGTTTCACATTAATCTTTGATATAAAAAATAGTTAAATATGAAATAATTTGATAATTAACTAAAGAAGAAATAAGAGATAGTAACGGAGAATAGTAGTAATTGAGGAACCAAAGGCATCCGCGCTCGCCCGAATGATTAAAACACGCTTCCAAACGTAACATGAGCTTAATATAATACAAACTCCGACAATATTATAAAAATATACATACGTGGTTTTCTTAAATCCTATTGTTGGTATTATTTAATACTTAATTGTATACATTACAGAGATATAAATATTAAATTTTGTATATATATATAAGGGTACTTATACAAATAAGAATACCCACAATGAAATATAGCGTCTATTATTTTTACTTTCATTTCCTCTTTGTCTGAAAATACCTTTTTCTGCTAAAAAGAGGGTAGTACGTTAAAGTTGTGTGATGTGCGCACCGCACCAGAGTCCAAATAACTAAGTACCACAAAATGGTCTGTGTGTGTGTAGGAACAACCTAGCTCAAAAATGAAAAGTCGTACGAAAATGAAATTGCGTATTTTAAGTTTTTATGAGCCATAGATGTTACAGCAAAATTTTCGTAAAAATCGGCAAACCAGAAGTGGTACTTTAGAAATAGAAATAGAAATAGAAAAATAACTTTATTCTGGAACACAGTCCCTTGAGAATAACAAATTAGAACAAAATTAAAATATTACATCTGGCCAAAACAAAATAAATCGAAAAAAAGAAATAATGTAAAAAAATATAAGGTAAAAACTCTATATACAAAACAAACTAAACTATATACAAAACCATTAATACTATGACAAGAAACTTAAAGCTATTTGCTCTTATAGACCAGTATACACTTTTCCGAAAAAAATAAAGAATTAAAAAATAAAAATATATCAAATTCTCTATTAAAATCCGCTCAAATGGTTAGCAAGTATCTGACTGTTTTTGTGATAGGAATTGGAATAGGAGGGATTTGAATGTGGATATGGAGGGGGAATGTCGAATTTTAATAGGGAGGGAATTCCAGAAATTGACAGAGCGAACAATAAAGGAATTTTGGAATGAGGCAGATCTGTGAGAAGGCATGTAAAGGTCAGAAGGTCGAGATCTTGCGGACAGGGAATGGACTGAGGATTTGAACTGGAGAAGGTTGTAGGCGTAAGAAGGACGATGGTTGTTGATGATTTAGTAGAGGAACGTACCTAGGAAATATTGTCTTCGAATGGAGGGGAAGAGCCACCTTAACTGAGTGTAGTGGTGAGAGACATGGGAGTACCTCGGGGCACCAATAACAAATCTTACGCAGCTATTCATTAATCTTTTCAGTCTATCACGGAGCTCCACCGAGAGGCCATCATACACTTTACATAATGGTATGATGATACATAATCGATTAAACACATTTTTACGATTTTCTCAAAAACCGCTCTAACGATTTTGATTAAACTCAGTATATCAGTGTTTTATTAAGCAGTTTTTAATATTATGTAAGATTTATTCTCATTGATGCTCTATAACAGGGCTTAAATGGCTAATTTTCAATATTAACTTTCTCTAATGTACCTTTAATGTTTTAATTTGAAATAATTAATCATTTTACATTAATGTTTTTATACACAAAAACAGTTAAATATAGAATATGAAATAATTTTATAATTAACTAAAGGAGATATAAGAGATCGTAACTGATAATGGTTGCAATGGAAGAACCAAAGGAATACGAGCGCGTCCGAGCTCGCTCGAAAGAGTACAACAGGCTTTCATTCCTAGCATGAGCTTAATATAATACGGACTTCGACTATATTATGTACATATACATATGGGATTTTAATAAATGCTATCGATGGTATTATGTAATATATAATTGTATAGAATTCTGCATTGAAAAAGTGTCGGAATTTATTTATCTCGGATCCCTCATAACTCATGATAATGTTTTGCATTCTGAAATTAAGCGAAGAGTGCTGTGTGCCGATCGTTGTTATTTTTTCCTCAGTCCGTATTTTAGAAGCCGTGCCTTCACCATAGGAACAAAAATCCTATTGTATAAAACAATTATCCGACCGATACTCCTTAATGGCTCAGAAACATGGACTATCTCCAAAACTGAAGAGCAGAATCTAATGGTCTTTGAGAGGAAGATTTTGCGTAAGATACTTAAACTTTGGAGCTGTAAAAGTTGACAAGTTATGGAGACGTCGGACAAACCACGAGCTCAAAGATTTCTATAAAGAACCAGAATGAATAGAATAGAATGGATTGCAGATATATAAAAATTAAAATTTGTATATACAAGGTTCGCCTGTCCTGTTCAATTTGGCATTAGAACATGCCACATTGTCTGGGTGGGACAACATCCGTGCTGGGCTATGCGGATGATCTGGTACTGTTAAGCGAAGACGTTGGAACTATAAAACTAAATACGACAACGTTAATGAAAGCCGGTAAAGAACTAGGACTCGAAATAAACGTGGATAAAACAAAATATATGATTAGCTGCAAAAATGGCGATACTACTGGTGATATCGATATAGATGGTAATATGTTTGAACAGGTAGATAAGTTTAGGTATCTAGGTTCTACGATAACTAGAAAAAACGAAATTGAAGAAGAAATTAAAGTTAGACTGAAGGCGGGAAATGTTTGTTATTTTTCTGTGACAAAACTACTTAGTTCGCGCCTCTTGTCCCGAAACTTAAAAATTAGAATCTATAAAACAATTATCTTGCCTACAGTTCTTTATGGGTGCGAAACTTGGCCGCTTACATTAAGGGATGAGCAGCGTCTTAAGGTTTTTGAAAATAAAGTATTGCGTAGAATATTCGGACCGAAGAAGGATGAGTTAACCGGAGAGTTCAGACGGTTACACAACGCCGAATTGCGTGAACTGTATCCGAGTAATATAATTGAGGTAATTTCATCGCGGCGAATCAAATGGGCTTGTAAAGTTGTTGGACTTAGTAACGAGAGAATTCCTAAAAGGTTAATATTTGCTGTGCCGAATGGTAAGCGTCCGAGGGGTAGACCGAAGCGAAGGTGGGAAGATTGCATTAAAGCCGATCTGAAGGGACTGGGTTTGGACGGCGAAAGGTGGAGGGAGGTGTGTAATAAGCGATTGGTGGTGTCGGCATCGAACCTTCGGGTTCGCTAAGCCTTTTTATTATTATTATTATAGACAAGGTTAATTACACAAGTAAAAATACCCACAATGAAATGTAAATAAACATAGCATCTATAATTTTTACTTTCACTTCCCCTTTGTCTGAAAATACTTGTTTCTGCTAAGATGGATGGTAAGTGAAAGTCGTGTGATGCGTGCACCAGATTGTTTTTAAATTGTTATAGTATCACCGTAAAGTATTATTTTATTATTAATATTAAAAATTTACCATATTTTTAGGTATACACCAATACTGGCTATCTAAAAGGAAAATGGATGGTAAGCAGAGGAGGAAAGAATTTCATTGGATTTCAGGGGATTCCATACGCTCAACCACCAGTTGGACACCTCAGGTTTGCGGTATGTGAGCAATTTTATATTTACCATTAATTTATAATGTACTGTTACGTAGTTAAAAAATGCTGCAAATTATTTCCAAACAATTATACATCTAAAGTAACATTACCTTCGTGACAAAGAAAAAGAAATAAAAGGTGTTTCCAGGCGTTCACATGTCTCACTGTGGTACACCAAGTTGAAGTGGCTATATCCTACTTCCCGACGACAATTCCTGCTTGGTGTTTTCCTTTTCAAAATCCTCAGAACCAAAAACTTTCCCTACATCCTGGAATTCCTTACTCTATCCACTCTCTTAATATTGTTCTTAATCTATAAATGTATATATCCCCTCCCATAAAACTTCTTCCTTCATCAAATCCTTTGTCATTCGTTCTACCTCCTTTTGGAACTCTCTTCCTTCCTCCATACGTCAATCCTCGCCCACCCATTCCTTCAAACAACTCCTGTTCCACCACCTACTCCACATTCAAACTTCCGCAAACATGTAAAATTACTTGCATCTGAATCCTGTTTAATGTCAATCTACTACACAGTTGCAATAGCAATTAACAGTTAATTAGTTTGTATTTTTAATTATTTTAAGCCAGACTAAGACCCATAATTTGTAACTCTGTTATTATTCTTAGAGGGATTCTTATTATTCTTAGTAGTCCCAGAATAAAATTATTTTTTCATTTCATTCCAATTATTAGACAAACCTTTTTTTTTTAATCATTAGTAATATGCTAAAAAAATAGCATTATTTCAGTAACACTTACAAAAAACAAAAACGAAAACAAAGTAATATAACCTTTGCAGTAGATCATATAAAAAACATCTAGAGATCATATCTTTGCTCCTGATTGTCCGATTTTAACAATTTTTTTTTGTTTTTTAGGAAATTACGTAAACTTTTAAATAACAATACACTATTAACAAAAACGTGTATACTTTTTAAGTTTTTCGGAATCTAATTTTACAATTCCTCGTAACTTTTTTCCCACCTTCTTTTCGTTGAAGTATGTTATGTAGATAAATTGAAAGGGCATAGAGAAGAAGACTTTAGCGAAGTTTCATTAAAATCGGTACATTCGTTTAGGCGCTACACTCTTTACCAACGCAGGTTTTTTGGTCGTCATCTTGAAAGGAAAAGGCGGATAGAAATGTCGATGAAAGAGGATCGTCCTCGGGTGACCTTTAATTTTAAATCAAAATTAGAAAAAAAATCGGTCCAGTAGTTTTGGAGCAAATATGCGGACGGCGGACGGCGTACGGAGAAATTTTTTTTTAATTCGTTTTTCGAATTCTATATATCCTGAAACGTAAAACCTCAAATTTTGAGCGGGAGTCAAGTTTTTTATTTTTTTATTAGATTACAATGCTTCATTATTGAAAATAATAAACCAAAAAAAAAAAAAAAAAAAAAGTGAAACTATAGTCGTTCCGCTGGAACATGATACCCAGGGAATAAAGTAGTTCTCAAACACAACCTATCTTATATGCCTTCTCACTAGCGGATCCAGGATTTAATTTTGGGGGGGGGCTTCAGCCAGAAACCTTTTTTTTTCATGTAAATAACGATAATTACTTTAGAAAAACAGAAAGAAACTAACTACCTATAAGAAATGGTGTTTAAGTTATTCCTTAAGTACTTTTAAATGTAATTACACGAACAATAATACTTTAAGAGGTATTTTTTAATTTTCTTTTCCCATAAAACATGGTTATATTTTTCCATTTTGCGGGGGAGGGGGGGGGGAGGGCTTCAGCCCGAAAGCACCCCCGTAGATCCGCCTGTGTGCCTTCTTACAACAGTCATTTACCTCTAGTCTGTGGCATGGACCCCTTTCTTATCAAATTATTAACATCCGTCTGAAACTTCGTGAATAACTTCATCTCAAAATTACTTTATTTACGAAAACTCTTGGAATTGCGGAATTTTCAATCTGGAGGGAGACAAACTTTGTCTATTTAATTAAGTACTAAAAACTCGTAAATACCCAATTGCATTCCACTTGAATCGTAAAATAATTTGAGCATAAAATCGACAAAAAAGTTGGCCTACAATCATATTGGGCCGTTTGGCCTATATAACCTAGTTATTTTGGGGATGGAGGTCACACCAAACAGTTCAACACTTTTAAGGCCACCTTTTTTCTTGATTTTATGATCAAATTGTCCTATGATTAAACAAAGTTTGGCGATCGCCAAATGGAAAACGCACCAATTCCAAGAGCTTTCCTAAATAAATTAGTTGTAGGTTACAATGAGATGAAGCTATTCAGAAGTTTCAGGAGGATGTTAATAATTTGATAAAAAGGGGTCTGTACCATGGACTATTGCTTCCTCCTGGATGCCTGATAATCCTACTATACATCTGAAAAGAAGATGACTTGGAGATGACCTTAGAACTATTTAGGGAGTGCTAATATGGGGCAGTACCTTTACAAGTCTGTTCATGCTATTATTTTTGTTCTGATCACATTTACTAGTTGTATTTTTTTAATTTATTTAATCTTTATTTGTTTTCAGGGAAGAACCCTATACAAATAGAGTCTATGTTCGTATTTAAAAAAAAAAAAAGTATAACAAACATTATTACTCTTATGGTATTATATATATTTTTTTATTTAAGTATTACATTTATAATCTTACTATAAGATTCATTTAAACAACATATTTGGTAAAAAGTCAGACAGTTAAAATAACGCCAATTATATAAAATCTGAAACTCCCACCCTTGCACCCCCAACTTGCACGATATCAATAAATACATTTTATTTTTTAAATATTAATATTAAAATATGTTTTAAAATTCAATTAAAAGATTACTCGCATAAAGAAAGAAAAGAAACAAGAAATAAGACCTGAACAGACTACATTTTCCAATATTAATCAAAGGACAATATTCCAAATTACCCTTTCAGTTTTCTATAATTTGAGATATTAGAAATGAAAAAATATAATTTTCTCATATCTTATATAGTGGCTGGCTCAAATATTTCCATCCCATGAAGATTACTCATATCCTGATAAATTCTTACTCTTAAGCTATTGTATATTGGGCATTTAAATAATACGTGATAAATCTTTTTCTATAGTATTACACATTTGAACTCAAGTTGTGGAGTGAATTTTACAATTTTATTGTTAACTGAAACTTTGATCATGTATTTTTCCGAGAGGCGAATCTGCAATAATAATCTGGTATATTTGAAATTAGTCGGCATCAACAAATACTGGGAGATTTGACCGTTGTTTAAAAAAAAAGATTCAAATGTTCACTATAAGCTGAGCTATGCAAGGTTTTCTTGTCACCCTCCTGCAAATGTCGTTTATATATATTTAATATCCTGTCGGTATTTGCTCTAATTATGGCTAAGTTGGTTTCATAAACTATATCACATTCACCAATAACATATAACAATACTTTTAGCTCAGCACACCAGTTGTATTTATTTATTACAGTTGTAAATATCAATAAAAAAAAAAATTCAACAATCTAACATCGTTATTTTTTATCCAATGAATTCAGGATCCTGTTCCAATAGACCCATGGATGGGGGTGTGGGATGCAACTTATCCTAGAAACCCATGCGTCCAGTGGAATTATCTTGAAAATGGCCCGACGGAAGGAAGCGAAGATTGCTTACATTTGAGTGTGTTCACGCCTGCGGTAAGTTTATACATTATGATATTCTTAAAATTAAATTAATAAAAAAAGAATTATGTATTAATCTTCATTTCGATTTAGTCAATGATAGCACCAGAAGTTAGTTCCAAATGTGTTCCATTATAAAATTGGGTCTTATTTTCTTAAGTATCGCCAGTTACTTTTTTGTCACTTTTTAGAACTGTTACAAATTTGTAAAATACACATGATTTAATAAATTATAACGGTTGTACTAATGAGTTTAATCTTAATCATAAACTCAGTATTTTATTCAGAGTGTGAAATTAAAAAAAAATTAACATCTTAAAAATAAGAAGTATGTAAACATGACTCATATATTTGTGAGTTTGTTTGGAGAAGATTTGAAGTTTTAATTTTATTTAATAAAATGTTGTAAGCAATGAGAAACTTATGGTTTCCGGAAGATTAATATTTTGCATTGCTATTATTCATAGTCATTTGTAATAACCTTAATCGACCTGGGCCTCAGAAACAAGCTTCCGTCAGGCTTCTCTATCCACAGCTGTTCTCCTCCAGGCACTAATGGATCCAGGATTCAATTTCGAGCGGGGGGAGGGGAGGGCTTAAGCATGAAAACTTTTTTTTATTTCTATATGACTATAATTACTTTGGAAAAAAATCTATATGAAATGGTCTTCCGGGCTGAAGCTCTCCTTCCTCCCCCATAGATCCATCCACCTATGCCTCCAAGTCTGTTTTAACATTTTCCATCCACTGCTGTTGGGGTCTTCCTCTTTTGGGCTAAGTTTCCCTGGCAACCTCTCCGTCCTCTCTACATGACAAATTCATCTGAGACGGGAAAGCATCTCAATACTATATTGTCACTATTATTATTATTCGCCACTGATCACTTATTCTTTTGGGACCATATATTCTTTGGAATTTCTTTTAAAAAAATATCAACCTCCTGCTTTTCTGGGTCAAAACCCACCCTTAAGTAACGAATGACTTGATAGTGGTTTTATAAACTTTTACTTTGGCATCCCATGTCAGTTCTTTTGATTTTAGAATTTTTGCCAGGGCATAAAAACGCCTATAGCCTGCTGTCATTCTGGCTTTTATTTCTGTCTGAATTTTTCTTAGGTGTGTCTGCCACTCTCAGGTATTTAAATTCTTTTTCCATTGGAAAACAGTGCTTATTGATTATAATGTTTTCCTGAATTGCTATATTACCTTGTAGGATTGACTTGAACATAAAACAAATTCTAGTATAAAAACTTGTACTCATTTTTCAATTTACTGTATGGAAAGATATTCTTTCTTCTTTTCTATTCTTCCCATTTTTAAATGTTTTGATACAGTCGCTGAAAAAATCTATATACACAAAACTATTCAAAAATTGGAAGAAGATAAAGTACATAAAAGACAAACTTGCTCTGAAGAACAAGAAACTGCTTCCAGTGATGGTATATATACATGGAGGCTTCTTCGAATTCGGATCTGGAGAAAATGCAAGAGAATTAGGAGGTCCAGAGTACTTCATGGACGAATCTGTTGTACTCGTGAAGATCAACTATCGGCTTGGACCATTAGGTAAGTAAATATTTTATTATTTACAATGTTATAAATAATAAAATAAATAACAAGGCTGAACAGAAAAATAAAGGTCAACATCTGGCTAAAATCTATTACATTAAATTTAATAAGCAAAAAAAAAATCATCAGAAAATACCTAGTCTGTTCATAAATATTTTTACATGGAAATACACAGATTTAAACAGAAAAATTAATTTTTTCAAAAACTTTATTCAAAAATAAAATGTATATCTATAGAGAAAAACAAAAAAAGAAATTACTCAAAATGTTCTCCTGTTGCCTTAACACAGACATTTAATCTCCATGGCCAGACATCAACAGCAGCACCCAACACTTCTTGAGGAAAGCTCTCAACTGCTCAGACCAGGGATTGTTTGAGGCTTTCCAAGTTAGTTTGTGCTCTGTGGCATGCCATCTTCTACAGTTCGGACCAAAGCCAATAATCTAATGAGTTGAGATCAGGGCTTCCTGAGGGCCAATCCGAGGCAGAGGCGAACTCTGGAATGTTCTTTTGCAGCCACTGCTGAGTTGACCTAGCTTTGTGAGCTGGAGCAGAATCCTGTGATTAAATTTTTCTTCAATTGTAAAAATTTTCTCATCGCTAAACAAAATCTTTTGATGAAGACCATTGGTGTAACGGCCAAGGAGCACTTTGCATCTATCCACTCTAAGTTTCTTTAGGGAAGTGGTTAGTCTTTTTTCTGTCATTCTTCGAAATGCACCCATCATAAGGTCACATTTTATTATGCGAGACATTGATCTGACAGAAATTCCCATTTCCCAAGACATGATTTGTTCTTTTCGAATGGGATTTCTTCTGATTCGAGCAGCCACTGCTTCCACTGCATTTGCCGCTCTCACAGTGTGAGGATGGCCCGATCGAGGTCTGCCACATACACATAGGGTCTCATTATATCTCTTCTACTTATAGTGCGGTACATGAACATACGGCCAATACACAAAGGTTTCAAAGTGTTGAAAATCTCTGACCTACATTTTCTAACTTTGTGTAAGGTGATCACAGCTATCAGGTTTCCTTTATCACATCACTCATTGTTAACTGTGCGAAAGAAAAATAGAAACTAATTGGGAATATTATCCTGAAATAATTCTGACATGTAAAGAAAATAATCTGATAGAGGTAAGATTATCTAAATAATATCCAAGGATGTAAACAAAGTTCAGCTTTTGTAACAGTATTTATGGCAGAACTATGTATATAGAATAAATCTGTATCCAAGAGGTAAAGAACACCTTGTCCCATTATTGTATTTATCCACGGAGACCATTTTTCATAACCTTGATCTATTAAAATTAGTTTATAAATTGCTTATTAAAAAAATGGACATGTTGTCTTTTGGCATCAGGATAATTGTATAAATTATATGTTGTATTAATCCACACAAAAGTTTTAAAAGTTGTAAACATATTTAAAAAGCATAAAATAGATAGTAGGTATTAACGTTAATGTTAAAATTTATTATGTTCACGACGGTCAATTCTATTTGTGTAGGAGCTTTTCCCGAAAACAAATAAATAATAATATTAACGTTAAGGTATTTGATTAATTCCTACTTATTTTTATTTCTTTGTATTTAAAATTATTTTAACATTTTAGGATGTTTTTCAATAAAAAATATTCACTTATTTTTTATTATTAAAAATTCTCTCAGTTACATTTATAATATTTTGAGTTAAAAGAATAAATAAAATTAAAACTGATTTTAAGTGAAAAAAAAAATACTGCTTTTCTACCAAAAATTCTGCTTTTTAATTTCCACATTTTGTAAGTGTCCGTTAAGAGTGGTTATTAGATCTCTCTAAAATAAAAATTGACACTTTGCGCCCGTTAGTAAAGTGACCATTGCAAGTAAGAGGGATGCAAATACTAGGTCTCAACCTATAGATTTATATATCCCCTCCCATAAAACTACTTCCTTCATTCGTGCTACGCCTTTTGGAACTCTCTTCCTACCTCTATACATCAATCCTCCTCCATAAATTCCTTCAAACAACTCCTGCTCCACCACCTACTCCACATTCACACTTCCGCTAACATGTAAAATTATTTATACGGGTATACTGTTTAATTTCAATTACTGCAAAATCGCAATAGCAATAAGCAGTTAATTAGTTTGTATTTTTTATTATTTTAAGCCAGACTAACACCCATAAATTTGTAACACTGTTATTATTCTTAGGGGACTGTGGTCCCAGAATAAAATTATTTTTTCATTCATTCATTAAAATTCCTATACTTCAAGTCTAGGATGTTTAAAAACTATATGTAAGATGTTTTATTGTGTATATTTAGTTTTAAAATTAAGCCCAAAATAATCTAATTGCTTGGTTATGAAAATTTTTAAAATATGTCTTATGAACCTCATTTATAGGGTTCCTAAGCTTTGAGGAAAAAGAACTCTCAGGTAATTATGGTCTCAAAGATCAAGTATTGGCTCTGAAATGGGTGAAGAATAACATCATATACTTTGGAGGCGACCCAAGAAATATCACCATCTTTGGGGAGAATGCTGGAGCAGCCAGTATACATTTCCATTTGCTGTCCCCATGCAGTCAAGGTAAGATTTATTATAGTACGAAGTATCATGTGTATTATTTAAAAATAATTTAGGTAAGTTAGATATGTACTTAGTTTTCCCTTATGAATGAACTCATTCATGAATGGAAAGACATTTGTGATGCAAAATCCTCCACAAACCGCAGATTAAGAACCTCTTGTTTAAGTGGTTCATAGGAAAAAGATAATAAAAAAAAAAAAAAATGTGTATATCCTTGTAGTAGACATCCCCCTGTGTTTACTCCTTTAGGTGACATTGAGTGAGGGAATGAGAAGGAATATATAGGAATGTGAGGCTGAACGATGAATTGTATACTCAATTATTAGTGGACAAATTATTCATTGAAAAGTCTCACATCAATATACAATCGATAAAGAAGAAAGAAGGAAAAGGGCGGATCAGGTTGCGGAGAAGAGAGGAGGGACTTGAGGCTGAGACATGGATGCAAAAGGATGTTACCTGAGATGAAAGAGGCAGGACATTGAAGACCAAGAATATCAAGCCTACAGTTATAAGACTTTAATAGATTCACTTATTACAGTTGTAAAATAAATTGTTTTGTTAGACAATAGTGAAAAGTCATTTATTTATTTAGTTGTCCCACAGGCCTCACAATTGAAGAATAACAAATCAGGTGAGTCAATTCATTTAAAGTGTGTCCCACACTCATATATATATTCTTATTGTTTCTCCTCACTCAGTGTCACAAAGGTATTAGATTCCCAACAACAATTAAACACCCTCAAAAAGTCTATATCAAGTGCTGGGGTTTTGTTTTAATAATCATGAGTGTAAATAACCTAGTTCCCCGATAAAAGCGAAAGGCTATTCGCAATTCCCGCCAAAAACAAATTATACAATTTAAACTTTATTAGGTTATTTACATCGTAATGTTTGTAAGGTATTGTAAGCTGATTTTCGAATTCTCATGGTAAGCAATATATCTACTTTCTGAATCTTTTTTCAGGCTTGTTTCATAAAGCTATTGTCAGCAGCGGTTCAGGATACTCACCATGGGCTCTTGCCAAGAATGGTAAAGCGCGTTCTATTGCGCTCAAGACTGCACATCTTGTCGGATGCCTCAGGAATACAACCAGAGAGATGGTGGGGTGTCTTCGTAGCATTGATGCCCAATATCTTGTAGACCAGAGGCGGGCTTTGATTGTAACTATACTTTTACTGTTTCTTCATTTTAGAGATTCACATTAATTATTTATTCATTCAGATTCAGATTAAAGTAATTATTGTTCAATTTTTTGTATACCACGTACAGTAGACTTGAACCCAGAGCCGAAAAGGCCATAGTATTTTAAGCAAATTTTCAACTTAACAGACTGATAGTACTCCTTTTAGGTATCATGAAAATGTCGATTTAAGGTTTTAAGAGCATTTGAACCCATCAAAAAGTTCAAAATTTTGAAGCATATTAAGAAAATTTTCTCTTTGTCGTCTTAAGATACAATTTTGAATAATAAATTGAAAGTATAACAAAAAAAAAATTAAAATTAGCAGATTATAATTATATTTCAAATATATCGTGAAAATGAAATCGTTCATTTATTTAAAAAACATTTTTATTTTTAAATTTACTCGATATACAACAAAAACTGAAACTTTAGGAAATTATTTATTTGTATTAACATTTCCATGTTGGGCCTACTATTCTTGTTGATCTTTAAAATGTCAAACATCAATTTTAATCTATATCTTCAAAAAAACCCATCAGGTGGTTTTCGATCCTATTTTTTCCTTTTCACCTCTCTAACACGGCATAAGGTTAAGATACAATTTTAAATAATAGACCATTGCAGAGAGGATGAAATGCTGAGTATCTCCCTTGCTTATAGTATGCAGGTCTGAATTTTAGTTTCTGAGATGTTTTAATCCATATGCAAACAACTTCAATTCGTTAACTCACAAACGAGCTATGGATTAAAACATCTCAGAAACTAAAATTCGGACCTGCATATCGGAGGCATAAGAAATGTTCAGTATTCCATTATCTTTAATGACCTATTATTCAAAATTGTATCTTAACACTAGGCTGTGTTAAATAGGCAAAAAAGGGAAAAAAATAGTGTTGAAAAACAACTGATAACGAGTTTTATCGAATATATGGATTAAAATATCTCAGAAACTAAAATTCGTATCTGCATACTGCAAGCAAGGGAAATGATCAACATTTCATCCTCTTTGTAATCACCTATTATTAAAAATTGTATCTTAACCCTATGCCGTAAGGGAAAAAATAGGATCAAAAACCAACTGATTAGTTTTTTTTTTAAGATATGGATTAAAATTGGTGTTTGACGTTTTAAAGACCTACAAGAATAGTGGGCCCAACATGGAAATGTTAATGCAAATAAATAATTTCCTAAAATTACAGTTTTTGTCATATATTGAGTAAATTAAAAAATTTTTCTTGTTTTACTTTCAATTTATTTAAAACAGACATATTTCTATAGCAGATAAATTTTGATTCCTCTTAAATGTTTGCGACTGAGAAATTTTAATGTATATTAAAAAAAAAAGAATTGAAGTTTAGTGCCACACACACTAACTCCACAATCATCATGTAACTGCTATATAGACATTATAAATCATCCACTTGTCATTTACATTGGACATACAAAAATACTCCATTGTTTTTCAGGAAATTTTTATAAATAGCAATTTATTGATTCTTGTTATTATTAATTTACAATTTTTTAAATATTTTATGAGTGATAAATATTCATGACCCAGTCATTTTAAAGATTTTTATATATTTTAAAAATGACTGCATCCTGACTATTTATCACCCATGATATGTAGAATGGTCGACTAACTTTTTTCAATAGTTACCATTTTAATTTACAATTCTTTCCAAAGGCCTGATGGTATAGACAATTACAACACACTTGTTTCTTTATTCCATTGCCGAAAAAAAAGAACACCTATCTCTGATTTATACTTCTAGAATATTTTAGTATTAATAGAAATTGATTATTATTATTATTATTATACTTAGCTAAGACTGTTGTGTTTTCAGACAAACTATGTTGATCCTGTGTGCCTCTACATTCCTGTTATAGACCACAATGCCAATAGACCTTTCCTTCCTGACTACCCGTCCAAGCTTCAGCCTGCAAATGTTCCGGTGTTGTTTGGCATAAATTCAGCCGACGGTCTTGTGAAGACTGGTTGTAAGTTTCATCTTTATACAACTTCTTATATTATGTCTGCTGTTGTTTTTCACATCTAAAAAAAAATTTGAATCATGGCTAATTTAAAATCCTATAAAAAAATTACTTGTCTCTATAACTAACAAATTGTAGTAGAAAGCCCCCTGTATTTACTCCTTTAGTTGACATTGTGTGAGGGAATGAGAAGGAATATATAATATATAGGAATGTGAGGATGCACTGTGAATAGTACTCAATTGTGCAGTGGACAAAGTGTTCTTTGAAAAGTCTCATATCGATAAATAATCGATAAAGAAGGAAGAAGGTGGGAGATACCGAAAGGATCCAGCAGGTAGCAAAAGCTGAAGAGAAGAGAAGGATTCTTAGCCGGGACAGGTAGAAAGGAGGTTGTCAGAAGAGAGGAGGAAGATGGACTTTAGGCCTGGACAGGAACACGAGAAGATGTCATCTGGGAAGAGAGCCTTACTACATTGAAGACCAAGATTATCAAGCTGACCGTTCACTTATATATATTCATTTACTATCAGTTGTTAAAATAAATTTGTTTTGTTAGACAGGAGTGAATAGTAATTTTATTTAGTTGTCCTATAGGCCTCACAATTGAAGAATAACAAACCAGGTGAGTCAATTCATTCAAAATGTATTTACTAAGTCCCACATTTCAAATATATATTCTTATTGTTTCTTCTCACACAGTGTCACAAAAGTATTAAATTCCCAACAACAGTTAAACACCCTCAAAAGTCTATATCCAGAGCCAGGGTTTTGTTTTAATAATTCACGAGTGTAAATAACCTTAATCCCCGATATAAAAGTGGAAGGCTATTCCCTATACCCACCAAAACATCTTTATTTTAAATTTAACTTTCAGTAGGTTATTGACAAAATACAGAGCTATCAATAAACAACGTTTATGTTATACCAATTCTTCCTGGATCATATAGATGAGACAGAGAGAAACTAAATTAAAAGTGGATATTTTTTTCATGAAACCTTTAATTTCATAAATTTTAATAATTAATATGATCATTCTGTATTTTCAGTTTACACAAAATATGGGCCATTTGATTGGACCTCAATTGATTACCACTTCACGCACTATTTTAAAGAGATATTGCTGCTTAACCCAGATATTATTGGAATAGAAGAAGAAATAGCTGAAATAAGACAATTTTACTTTGGCTTTGATGTATTAGGAGAACAAAGTTATTTTAACTTGACCAATGTAAGTTTTTTTTTTATTATCTCTTAATTAGAAATGAATTATTGATATGATTTTTACTAGAAATACCCAGGGGCGGGGTTGCCGAGCGGGATAATGTGTATGCATAACACTGCCGTTGCCCGGCCACCTGATATATGAGATAATTTGATTAAAATAATTACAAGTTTGCGTCCTGGTGCCGAGAGGTATTTTGACTCTGACATTAATCCTCTGCCCTTACCCCATAGCCTGGAAAAATCCTTGTATAGCCTAAAAGGCGATGAAGATGAGGACAATAAAAAAAAAAAACACACTAGAAATACATCATATCTAATGATTTTGGCTACTTTAGAAAAAAAAATTGAAGTTTATTCTGAGAGCTATCCCTTATATCTTATTTCTCTATGCTTCGAAATTGGGTTTAAACCAAATATAAGGTCCTATCATGTTCTAATGTCATTAATAGAAGTATCAGAATCAAAATTTCATGGATGGCTAGCAAATCATAATATCCGTTTTTATTTTTATTTAAAAAATAAATAAAAGCTATATAAACATTTCATTAAGATTCAAAATTACGACAGCGGTAAGTTAGTGGATTGAGAACGAGAACAAAGTTAGTTTTGAAGATTTTGAGATGGACACCAAGACCAGGTAAGGTACCAGGCACTCCATTTTAATTCAAAATCCATTGATTAAATCATCATTGTGATAAAAAAAATCTTCCAGAAATAACACGAAAAAAGTTATTAAGAAATTGAAATTTTATTTGCACATAACTCAAAAAATATATACAAATCAGAGTGATGAAAACTACAATAATTAGAAAGATTTCCTAAAAAATAAATAAAAAGAAAAAAAAATCACAGCTTTTTTAGCAAAGATACCTCTAATTATAATTTGTATATGTGTTTTAGTTTATTACTTTACAAAATTAACTATTTTAAGAAACAGAAAAAAAAAATTAATTTCTCCCTCTCAAAATATATTATATTTATTTATTTACATATTATATTATCATATCTAATGAATTTCCGGAATTCATTTAATAAATAGATTATAACTAATAAATAAAAATTTCAGTTATTTACAGATGGTTGGTTTTTCATACCAATGATTCAGACTTTTAAGAATCATCCAAATAGTGTTTACCTTTATAACTTAGATTATGTTGGAGACAATTCATTTGCAGATGTCTACGCTTCTACAAGAGTAGTCAATGGTATGATATTAAATTGCATGTAATGATAAAATTAATTAAACTTCATACAAACTATTTTCAATTTTTAATTATTAATAATAAAGTTGTAATATTATGTATCATTTATTTGTACTTTTTTTTTTTAACTTAATAAGAGGATAATTTAGATTTGTACTATCAATGTACACATTTAAAAAGTTGAATTGGTTCTCTAAAATATTGATGTTTTCTTTAGGTGCTTGCCACAACGATGATACAATTTATTTATTCAATTCAACAACTAATCCAAGATTTAGTCCATTTTCTCCTAAAGATGAACATTTTTCCAAAACATTGGTCAAAGCCTGGGCAGATTTTGCACGTTTTGGGTAAGTTTATTATTGATATAAATATATATTTTTTAATTATTAATTCAATTAAATTAATTATCATTTCCAATGGAAACATTTACTGTTTAAATATAAAATCAGATGGGAATTGGAAAATCATGTGAGTCAGTCAAAAGTTTTATTAATGAAATGATATCTCATCATAGTAAAAGTTGTTTATAATCATCTAGTCTTAACTTAACTATAGGCACAGACTTTTGATTTGATTGGATGGATAAAAAAAAAATATTTTTTTTACCTCAAATTTTGGAGTAAGGTGAAGGAAATTAATTTATTAGGAATTCTTATGGTTGGAGGAACTGAGAAAATATTTAAAAAAAGTAAAAAATCCTTCACGAAAACATGTTTGAGGAATGGAACCGGTGGTGGGTAAGGACCAGTAAAGTGGCAACCCTGAGAATATTTTTCCTTACCATCAGTTTGTGGATAGTAGATGCATAGGTTATACTAGATAACCAGATCTCACAGCTATTTACAGGACATGGGAAATTTCAAACAAAGCTCGTCGCTCATGGGAAGAACATCAATTCCTTACGTCCCAATTGCGAAGTACCAGAGACAGATCCCTGCACCACATATGAGATATTATGGGCCAAGCTTATGAGGGAAGTTTATTGCTCTACACTCTACACAAGAAACTGAGCTCTACACTTTAATGAAGAACGAGTTCCCCCAGTTCATTAGTAAATAAAATTACTGCCACTTCAAGAAATTTATATTGTGTGCTCAGTCCATTTCTTGGAATGGACTAAAGAAATTAGCCAGGGAAGCTGCTTTACAGAGGAGGAGTAAAAGAGAATAATAGCCAAATTCAGGGACAGAACGCACAGCACAAGATTTAACTGTCAATAGCTTACTTGCAGCAGTGAATTTTTACTTAGGATTCGCAACAACTTTACTGCCGCAACCGGGTGGTTGTATACTGCAGTATGGGTATAGTGCCTAATTGTCAGGGAAGAGAGAAAAATAAAAAATCGGATGTGTCCACTCACACGACTTTCCTACCTATTTCAGAAAAGTTTTTATATCTTAACATATCTCCATCAAGAAACAACAACAAATTGAATTAGATTTATTTTCCTGAAAATTGATCAAAGAAAGATTTGAGTACGATTTATTCTATAAACTAAAGCAATGTAAACCGGCTTAAAGTAGATTAGTGTAAAAATTTCAATACCCTCAAATATTGCTGATCAAAAACTTTTTGCCATAGCCTAATTTTGTCAAACAATAATTTCTGTTAAAAGTAGAGGAAATAGTGAAACTTGTGTGATGCGGGCAACAGATTTTCTTACTTTCACTTAGTTATCTTTTTTCTCTCATTTACCCCTTTCTGACACCAAGATATGAACCTGTAATCTTACATTGGAAATTGAATAAATGTAACTTCATTAATAGTTGTCCAAAATGAACAATTTTTATACAGTTTTGTAGGGAATTTCATTACCTTACAGAAAAACAGGCTAAAATTTTTTTGACCTCAAGGGCCTCTGAAATGTATAGATCTTTCAAAAACCGCATATGAGAAATTTCAACCGATTGCAATAATTTCCTTACCTAGTATAGGTAGTAAAGAAATAAATTACAATAGAAAATAGAATAAGCTGAATCATCGCTAATACTGGTTCAATTCTGAGTATTTTTTGTTGGTAATTTAATTACCTTTCAAAAGTTTTATTATAAATTTTACCATAGAATGTATACTTAGCGAATTAGGCCCCAAAACATTTTTCTTTTCTTTATAACTTTTTTTCTGAATTTTCTCGGGAATTTAGTATATTGAAAAGACGATTATTAGAAAATTATAAGAAAGTTTCATCAAAATCGTTAGAACTGGTATCGCACTACAGTCTATAGAAAAACATGTTTTTCATTTATTGCACAGCAGCTATTAAGCATGGAGCATCCAATTTGTGCCACAGGCATCAGTAGTCAAATCCTACAAAATAAAAAAAAGAAGCAACAAAATTGGTTCACTAGTTCTCGAGAAAATATTCACACAGACAGACAGACCAATAGCTAAAAATGTGTTTTTCGAACTGAGGAGGCTCTGAAATGTATAGATCCGTCAAAAACCGCATATCGGAAATTTGACTCAATTTCAATACATTTCTTACCTAGTATAGGTAGGAATGTAAAAAGACTGGAAAAGATACAAAAATGGTGAATATATTTTAGGATTAAAAAATATTTACAAAAATATAAATGTACAAAGATGGAAAGAAATAGTATCTGAAATGATCATTAACAAAAGAAATAAGTGTAATAATCTGATATATCAATATACTAATGAGTTATTAAAATAATTTTAATATCTATTTATCAGATTGCTATAAATATTTATTTTGTCAATTATCATTTAATATTTATTTTATTAATTTTTGTACATTTAATAGGTTTAATATTGTTTGTATCTTTTTTAGCCCTGGTAAAGATCCACAACTAGGTCAGAACACCATTTCAATAAAATGGTTTACAATATTTAACATTATTTATGACAACGACCCTGAACTATCTCTTCTTTTGTTATATATGTTAACTATTAAATATCCAATATTTTTTCTCTAAATAAATAATTTCTGTTTTATATAATTAAATTTATTTATAATCTTTCAGAGACCCAGTTAGGAGTCAAGGTATTACCCTTGGTGATTGGAATAATGGTGGAGATTACCTGGAAATGGGCCCCATGGGATTTTTAGTAAAGAAAAGTTTACATCAAGAAGTCATCAGATTTTGGTTTAGATTTAATCCAATGCTGACACATTATATTTAATAATAGCAGTCATGTTTTAGTTAGACAAATAATGAAATTTTTAAATAAATATCATTAAAAGAAAAGAATTCTAAACATAATATAGTATCAGAGGTTTCTCAATAAATATAATTCATCTATTTATATTCAGTAGAAAAATAAAACAAAATGATAAATGAATATTTATTAATAAGAATTATAAAGAAATGATGTGTTAATATAAATTTTTTATTTTAATTACTTTATAATAAGAAGTCATCAGGTTGAAAAGTAATAAATATTATAATATAATTCATGAATCAGCTACAATAATTCATAAATAAATGTTTGTGTAAACATTTGTTAAATGAAATTTGTGTTACCAACAATGAACTGCCTGTTTAACTTTTTTTTTTAATATGTCTATTTAACTTGAAAGAAAAAAAAAAAAAAGACATATCCTTTAAGTTAAATTGTAAAATCATACTAAGAATGAACAAAAGAACTAATGTAATTTGCAGTTGGTAACATTGTATATATTTTGTTAGTTCTTAAAATTGTTTTATTAGAATCTATAAAATTGTTTGATATAGTATTATCTTATTGTTATGTATTTATATATGTTTTGTTATTTTTTTACAATTTTTTATAATATATTTATTATTTTTTCTAAGAATTGTTTTCACTTTATTTATTCCAATTATTCATTATGTGTGCCTAAGGTCTATGATAACTAGAAAAAACGAAATTGAAAAGGGATGAGCACTAAGGGATGAGCAATGTCTTAAGGTTTTTGAAAATAAAATATTGCATAGAATATTCGGACTGAAGAGGGATGAGTTAACTGGAGAGTTTAGATGGTTTCACAATGTCGAATTGCATGAACTGTATCCGGTTAATATAATTGAAGAGATTACATCTTGGTGAATCAAATGGGCTTGTAAAATTATTGGGCTTAGTCACCAACCATGTATTGTCTCAATCTCAGTTTTCTAGTAAAAAATTATTTTTTTCTTTCAAAACCTATATAAAATGACAGTGAAATTTATTTCCACTCCTACAGAATAATTAATGCATTTTGAATTATATATTTTGTTAAAATTTTGTTAACAGTGAAGTATGTTTATGTATTTTCAAACTTTGTCCCACCACTTTGATGTCATTACCAAGCAAAAAACATAACATCAGATATTTAAGCGTTGAAAAGAGGGAACAGTGGGGAAATTTCTTCAGAGTGTAGTACTAGCCATGAAGTTTAAGGACAGCCACCAGCGGATAGACCGACCAGTTGGAGAGCCTCCCTCTACGTATCCATTTCTTATTCGTTGAGTGTGTACCTTTATTGTTGTCATTACCACTGCGTATAATATCTCGCTTCCTACTCAAATTATTTCATCTACTATAATTCATGTTTGACAATGGTTTTTAGCAAGTCAGTTGGTAACAAAAAAAAAAATTATAATACTAGTTACACAGCGGTTCTGGCTGCATAAAATACATGAAAATGCCATTACCAAGATGTAAATTCGTGTCATTCCCACAACCGAATTATTAGCTTCACTCACTTTAATTACTGAGCAAAAATCACTTTTGATCTTGGCCATTTGCTTAGATAAAGCTGAGCAGCAATAGAAGATGTAGGTATTAAGAAAATTGTATTTAAATATCATCAAAATCATTAAAATTTTATCATGAAAATTGCCCATAATCTGTGATTTTAGAATTAACAGAAGTGGCTTCTTACCAAAAGCCCCCTTTAAATCCGTAGTGTTTTTGAACATGTATTTGGTAATAATATCCTTTTGTTGCATCATAGCACACTATTCCCTGATTGCCGAAAATAGCTGACTATTCATAATCCTGTTTACATCTGAGATAGCTGCTTTGACTCATATTATTTGTTTAGAATTGGTTATGTACTCTTGCCTTTTTAATATTTAAATATGCAAAATAATAAATTATGTTAGTAATAAAATGTCTTCTGCTAAAAAATAAGTTGATGTAGTTCGTTTACTATCGACACAAAATGAAAGGGATGAAGAAACTCTTACATGATAGTAAATTAATACAAAGCCATAAAAATTAAATAATTCTTTTACATTTTCTTCTGTCAAAAGTGATTTACACAGTGAGATTAAGAATTTTTTTTTAGATGTTTTATTTATATTACATTTTATAAAAACATTATTTAAAAAGTGGAAATATTAATTTACATTAAATAATAAATTGATAGGTCCTAATATTCACAAATTACAATAGCAAAATATCCAATGATGGAAATTAAGCCTGGCGTTTCTTATCAAAGTAGTTGTGGTAGTGAGATCTGCAAATGTAGTCAGTTTCATCCTCGCCGAATGGGCAGTCATCCTGATCATCGCAGACCCATGGTCTTGGAATGCATTTAGTCTTCGAGGATCGTTTGTCGCACTAAAATTGAGTTCATTATTATTTGGAATTAATAATAATAAAAATATGTATTTGTTTTAATACATACTTTATTTTTTGTACTTAGTTCCAAATAAATAATCTGAGGAATACTTTTGAATTTTTTTAAAATGCAGTCTGAATTTTTCTAATATAAATTTGGGTGCTCCTCTAGATTAAAAATGAACTTGATTAGCAATAATACATTAATATCCTCCTACCCTCCTAGATTTTTCAAAGCATTTGACACAGTTGACCACAACATCCTTTCTAAATTTCAAAATATCCCTTTATCCAACAGTGTCCTGCGTTGGTTCAAATCCTTCCTTTCAGATCGATCCCAGTATGTAGTAGTCCCAGGTTAATCTCCTTCTAAGACACTTACCCTCTCCTGTGGTTTCCCTTAGGTTCCTCCTCATCTCCTACTCTGTTTGTTATTTACATTAATGACCTTTCTCTCCTGATCCATCACTCCCAATACCACATCTATGCCGATGATTTAAATATCTGTGACTGGGCGGAATCTAACAAGTTGAAGTTCAATGCGAAGAAGACTAAGGCAATTTTGATAGGCTCTTATTATGTGCTTAAAACTGGTCCTAAAATCCCAATCCTGTTCCTACCTGATAATCTCATAAAATTTTATCCCACTATAAAGAACCTTAGAATACCCTTCAACCAAACCCTTTTCTGGAAAGACCATGTATCCAATATATTCTGCCGTTCCTTTTCCATTTTAAAACTTCTGAATTATCTCCACCACCTATTTCCATTTGAACCCGTAGCTCCTGATCACTTCTTTAATATTTTCTCACTTCAACTATTGCTGTACAGAATATGGAGGTGTCTCTCTCCCAAAATGAAACAAAAACAATAAAATATAAAATCTATCGGAACTGATTAAAAACAAAAGTTAATTTATCATTTAAAGTCCTGTTAATAATAATGGTTTTATAATATATAAGAATAAATAAGTTTAGTTTATGATACAGTATAATGTGTTCAAACCAAAAATTCTTTACTTACGCTGAATTCATAATTTGGGTCACAGAAGAAATCATCCTCATCATCATCTTCATCATCATCATCATCAACACAATCATATTCATCAGATCCATCAGAACAATCTTTATAACCATCACACATTTTTCTTAGAGATACGCATCCACCTCTGTGGCATCTATAAAGATATATCAACATTTTTAATTAAATTTAACGATTTAGTGCATCATCCTGTAAGAAAATAAAATTCTGTTCACTCATTCATAGAAATATTTGAGATAAAAAATTTACTTGAAATGTTTTCTATCGCAGTAGCTGAAGCCAGTCACGTTTACTGGTGGAGGCTGCTTTTGGCAGTTCTCTTTATTTTCATCCCAACTAAAAAAAACATAAATTATCATTATGATAACACAAGTTTCAGCTTCCAAGGTTATCGTATAAATTTATATCATCGATACTTTTTCTAAGAAAGTTGTAGTTTTCTGTAAGTTTTTCCTCACCATTTTGCCTCATCTTTAAAGTTTTTGGCCTAATATATTTTTGATTAATTATTTATGATAAGAATTGAATTCTGGTTGAGAGTAAAGTTGTTGAATTATGGTATGATATACATGGTAAGTCCAAGTTCACTTATTTGTACAAATAAGCAATATGGCACATACATAGATATCTGCAAGATATCAGTAAAGTGTAGCTGAAATATCTAAAGTACAAAATAACTTTATTTTACATATATTCGTAAGATTGATTACTGAGGAGATGGAAAAATAAAAGATGTTTAAATGAGGTCAAGGATGAGGATTTCCGTATAGAGGTTGGTAAGGAATTCCAAAACGAGGTAGCACGTATTATGAAGCATTTTTTACAGGAAACAGTTCTACGAGAAGGAATAAACAGATTTGAGGGTGGGGATCTTGTGTTGAACGAATGAACAGAGGAGCAAGGAATATCGGAAAGCTGGATAGAGCCACTTAAACACAGCATAGCAACTGGAGACGTGGGGACCTCAAGGATGAATCTAATGAAACAATTCATTAGTCTCTTTAATCTGATCTCAAGCCCACCAGACAGTCCACCGTACACAAGGCAGCCTGGTGTACAACATAATCAAAGTGAGGGAAAATGAGAGAGAAAACTAGGAGCTGACGGATTTTAAGGAGCATAGAGTCACAGAATCTTAGGAACTGTTTTGTAGTAGCAAAATGTATACGTTGTAATGTACACCTTTATTGGAAGTGAGGAAAAAGGTTTTAATAAATTAATGTTAAACAATTAAAAGGCAAGCTAATCTAGTTCTACTAGTGCAGGGTAAAGAAAATGGCTGCTCTGTAGTATCCCAAGAAGGAAAATCCCAAAGAGGAGAGGGACAAAGGTTTTTGTTTTGGCAGGCAGCTGTTGTGTGGCAGCAGTGAAGAGAAGATAGGAGAAGTGATCCTGGCTCCAGTGGGAAAAACCCAATAATAGTATTACCATCTTGGAAGTTGTTGTTTGGCAGAGAGACCAGCTGCTTGGAATTACAAGAGAGAGGATCTCCCAGGAATTTTGAGTTGAGTAGAAGATAGTGTCGCCAATTTGGAAGTTGTTTTTGGAAGAACATACGAAAATGTTAGAAGACAAATAAATTTAGTACAAAAAAGGAAGAAACAGTATATATAGAAAAAAAGGTTAGCTTGCCAATTCATATTTGACTTTATTTTAAAATCAAACAGTGTTTAGTATAGTTAATTTTAGTTTTTCTGAGTGTTTTGATCTGACTGTCAGTAACCCACACCTGAGATGAATAAATATATTAATACTCTTATAATTTTGTTTAATTATTTAATAACCTCTTATTTATTTAGGAAGTATCCCAATAGTATTAAAGTGATCTTCCGAGATTATATTATTATTATTATTTGTAAAATATAAGAGAGATGTTACAATGCATTTATCGTAAATCTATTACGTAAAAAAAGTTTTAAAGAAATCTACTAGTTCTAATATGCAAACAAGATTACCCATCTGTGCAGTCCATCCTACCATCACACAACCAGCTGGTAGGCAGACAAACGGGCACTGTCTTTGAAACACATGGAAATTCATTCTTCTTGCACTTATGAGGAGGTGGATGGTGAGTGGATACCTCAGGCTTTTTATTGTTTAAGCACCTGCTTTCATCAAATCCACCTTGAACAAAAATATTTCTAGGATAAGAAGAAATACTTTACAATAATAATCAATATAAAAAAAAAATTAACTTACCAACACAATCTTCTTCTCCATCACATTCCCAATGGAGTGGAATGCAAATGTTAGAACCTTTGCACGGAAATCCCTGAAATGGTGGCTTATCCTTAACAAAGCATTTCACTGTCAATCTTTCTCTGGTGTTATCTATAATGATAATTAAAAAATCAATTTATTTATATATTTAACAAAGACAGTTTATGATGATAACAATAGTAAATGATTTGTTAGTAATTATAGTTTGGAATTTAATTAATATTTTCTAATATTTTTCCTAACCCCAATCTGGATCATTTGCTCCTTACAATTTATTTGTTCAATATTAAAATAAACTTCAATTTTTAATAAAATCTAAACTGAGGAAGTTTAGTGAAATATGTTTTTTTTCTTTATTTAATTTTTACTCATTCTTATGAATGTTAAATGAGGATTCTTTTTGATGACAATTATCCTATATATTATTTCTAAAAGGCTCTTTTTGTCAGTGCTATTTTTGTTGTGCTAATTAAACCGACAAAGTTTGCTGATCTCCAGATTGAAAACGCTGCAATGCCGAGAATTTTCGTAAATAAAAAACTTGTAAGTTACGATAACATGAAGCTATTCACGATAATTTAGACATATGTTGATAATTTGATAAAAGTAAGTTTTTACCTTTGAGTAGACCCTATTCAAGTTTCAATGTTTTTTAATTACTACTAGAATAATAAGTGATTTTCGGAAATATATACGTTATAGAAATAAAGGATCTGTATTTTTTTTCTTTTTGTAACATCTTATATATTATTTCTAAAAAGCGTTTTTTTTTTTTGTCTGTACGCCATAATTTCGTCAATTTTTCATCAAATCGAATGATTGACCATTCATTTTGAAGATATTCTCCACATGTGAAAAATAATCCTATCCCCCCAAATTAATGGAAAAAAAGTTATGAAGGAAAAGAAACTTTATTTGCAAATAACTCAAAAAGTATGCATTTTTTCTTGATTGTACCCATATTGATTAGAAAGATTACTAAATTACCAACTAAAATAGATATTAAAAAAAAAAAAATAATCGTAAAAATCGGACAATTATTAACAAAGATACAGTCCATTAGTTTTGGTATACTTAATAATCTTCCTCTTTAAAGATATTGCATTTAGGAGTAGAATAGTAGTGTAGTAATATTCTACTACACATTTTTTCTTGGGTGATATATTAACTTTATTATTTCTTAAAGGCATTTGTTTGTTCTTACATTTTATTTTTTTTAATAAATAAAAAATCCCTTGATCGGGAAATTATTTTGTCTTTATTACTTCTATTATCTTTCCAGTCAGTGTTTAAAAGTAGGTCCTAGCAAAGCAATTTGTACAAATATTTTGGTCTATTAAGTTAAATGGAATATTGCAATAGGCAAAGGGAAAAAATATTAATTCCTTCATTACGTAATACATAGGATCTACTTATTTCCATATTGTTTTTGTTATTTCTTCACTAAACAAAATTTTCTGTGAATTATTCGCACGGGCCAAAAAGTATTTTATATTTCTAAAGTATGACTTTTTGTTCAATATATGGATTATTATTGTCTTATAAAAATTTAAGGCTCCTAAAAAAAATTGAATATCTACAAATTTTTTTATGTCTGTCAATATAGAAAGATTAGACTAAAATATATTTATGTTTCAGAAATAATAGGAAATGGGATACTTAGTAGGTAAGGCATTGGCTTCTAAAGCTACAGGTTGCAGGTTTGAATTCTACTGATGGCAGGTAATTATTTATTCTGTTTTATTAGCAATGGATCTACTCTGGAAATGGCAGAACCTCCTGGGGTACACTCAGCCTCTATAAAGCGGGTATCCTTGCCCGATCACCTCCCTACATAACCATTGGTCTTGAAACAGTACTTCCTCACAAAGTACCGAACTTAAGACTCTTCATGGGTTGTAGTGGTACAGGATTTAGTTTCAGAAATAATATTATATAAATATATTTATTTATCAAGTTGTTTTTAAAGTACTATGTTACAACTAGTAGAAACAACACTTTATCATTTAATAATATATGAGTATGTGCAGTTAAATGTTAGTGATTAGTAGAAAATTTATATAGAAATAATATAAGAATACTTCTTTTTAAATATTTATCAACATATTACTTACCTGTGTAAGAGGCAGTTTTAACGATAGATTGCAGTCGCTTTGATGGTCCACTGATTGTTCCTGTAAATACATATGTCGTATGTATTACACTATCATTGGAACTCAGAGTCACCCGCAAAACTGTGCTACTTGGAAGGTCGTTGATTACAAGAGAGATTGTTTTAGCAGTCATATGGACTATGACTTTATCTGTATCGTTCTGATCCATCATGTCCCTAGAAAAAAATATAGACATGAAAGGGACATAATAAATACGATATAAATAAAAAAAAATAGATTTTAGAAATATATAAACAAATAAGGAAAGAGATGGTCCAGTGTGGTGGTCATAAATAAACACAATAGTGGCAAAAATATTTTATTAAAAGCCAACGTTTCGACCCGACTTCGCAGATCTTCTTCAGGGAGGTGTTTTCAGCAAGGAGTTTCACTTAGAACTGGAGTTAGGAGTTTCAGTTTCAGGACCATCTCCTTCCTTAATAATACAACGGTCAACTATTAAGTATTCAAATAAAAAAAATAATGATTAAGTTTAGTTAATTTTTCAGTGAGTCAAAATTTCATTTAAAAAAATATGACTATTTTCAGAGTAATGAATGAATAGATTAAATAATTCAATTGAAATTATTGCCTATCTATGTGGTTAAAACAATAAAGCTGTATAGATGTAACTTAATAATTAATATTTATTTATACTTATTATAAATTTATTTTACTTAATTTCTAAGACTGTGGGTCCTTCGAGTGTAGGAAGTTTAAAATTGACAGATATCCCATCCAGTTTAATATTAGTTTCAGCAATTTCTTTTAGTGCTTCAAGTATTCCTTTAACATCTTTTTCTGAAACATTTCAGTACAAATTTATACGATAATGTAACAATAATCATACTAAAACTGAATTATAAAGGTATTATAAAATTTAATAGATATGTTATTTATATAAATATTGTAGGTAAAAGAATAAAATTTAATTATATCATATTTCTGGAAATTACAATAATAACTAGATTCCTTTTATGAGAAATGTATGAATTCATTTTTCAGATTTTGTTACTGACACTAATTTTGCAATTGACTAAAAATGATTTAATTTAATCAACACAGCAAGCAATTAAGCCAGCTTTGAAGATCAAATGCCATAGTGATTGGTATTAATTATTAATTTCAGAAACAGAACCACTTAGTACTTTTTTAACAATGAAGAACTTTCAATATTATTTTTTTTTTTAAATTATGTATTAAATTAAATCATAATTAAATTATTATGTATAAAATTATCTATATAAATAAAATAAAGTTTTTGTCTGTACATTGAATAGAATCAATCCGTTTCATGATATCTTCCTGTTCCATACAATACAGACACCAAATTCAATTTTAAAAACTTTTTTGTCTTTCTGTATGTCTGCATTATCCAACGAAATTTTGTCAGGGATAAGCTCAGCAATGGCTAATGATAGAGTTTTGAAATTTTGACATATTTAGATTTATTTGACTTAAAACATAGGCTCTAAATGAAAAAAAAATATTGATTAGAGCCAAATATATGAATTCTTGAGTAATTTGTCTAGAGATCCCGGTTCAGCAGTTAATTAAACACTAAACGTCATCGGTGGTCGTCGTTTAATTGTGTGACACCTAAATAAATAGCCAAATAACAAAGTTCTTTTTTGACTATTGCGAAACATTGACTTCCATAAGCCCCACCATAAAAAAAATCAAAACAATCCCTCCATCCAATTTTATGAAATTGAATTTGGATCCTCCCCTCTCATAATACAAAATCCATCTCAAAAAAAGATTCTCAAATTTTAACTATACACCTGTCAACGACGGGTACATCAGCTAGTGATGTATAAATGAGAGTAAATATAAACTTGGAACAACCCAGCAACATGTGTGAAACATCATTTAATTTTTAATAATTTGTTAAATTAAAAAAAAACTCCCATGAAATTCTTTTAAAATAATTTATCATATTACATTTAAGATTTGAGGGTATATATTCACAATTTTTATTAAAACAATGTTCGAAAAATTTCTAATTATTGTTTAACTAATATTCTATAACAATTTCACATATTTATTGAAAAATATTAATTTGCAATATTTATTTTTAAGTAATAATAATTTACTGAATTTAAAGAATTAAAGGAAGGAGTTTTAGACCAAAAGACCCTCTTGAATCTGACAATGTTTTTGAACATTTACTTGGTTATAGTAACCTTTCATTCAGAGGTGTTCATTAAAGGGGTTTCATGGCACCATCATAATGTTTGAGGGAGGACATTTTGAGGAGTTTTTGAATTTTTGAGGGGGGCACATTTCGACAGGTTTATAAATTTTCAAAGTGAATAAAATATCTGGTGTGTCCACTCACACGACTTTCCTACCTATTTCAGAAAAGTTTTTATATCTTTACATATCTTCATGAAGAAACAAAAAAGAATTGAACTAGATTTATTTTCCTGAAAATTGATCAAACAAAAGATTTGAGTACGATTTATTTGATAAACTAAAGCAATGTAAACCCGCTTATGGCAGATCAGTGTAAACATTTCAATACTCACTAATATTGCTGTTAAAAAACTTTTTGCCATAGCTTAGTATTGTCAAACAATAATTTCTGTTAAAAGGAGAGGAAATAGTGAAGATTGTGTGATGCGGGCAACAGATTTTCTTACTTTCACTTAGTCGTCTAAAAATGACTTCTTTAGTCATATAAGAATGTTTCATCAAAATCGTTAGAGCTGTTTTCGCGCTTAAGTCTATAGAAAAACATGTTTTTCATTTATTACTCGCAAGCTATTGCTTGGGAAATTTGACCCGATTGCAATACTTTCCTTACCTATTATAGCTAAGAAAGTAATAAACTTATTTTTAACTAAAAATGTATAAAAATAGAATGAGCTGTATCATCGCTAATACTGGTTCGATTCCGATGCTTTTTTTTTTGTTATTTTGGTAATTTAATTACCTTTCAAAAGTTTTATTGTACATTTTACCCTACAATATATACTTAGGGAGTTAACCCCATAAAATTTTTCTTTTCTTTATAACTTTTTTTTCCTGATTTTTTTCGGAAATTTAGTCTATATACGAAAATTGTAAGGACAATGATTAGAACATTAAACGTTAAAATTATAGGAAAGTTTAATCAAAATCGTTAGATCCGTATTTGCGCTACAGTCTATAGGAAAACATATTTTTCATTTATTGCGCGCAAGCTATTACGCATGGATCACCGAATTTCTGTCACAGGCATCAGTAATTAAAACTCTACAAAATAAAAAAAGAAGCAACAAAATCGGTTCAGTAGTTCCCGAGAAAATCTTGGCACAGACAGACAGGCCAATTGCTAAAAATGTGTTTTTCGGACTCAGGAGGCTCTGAAGCGTATAGATCCGTCGAAAACCGCATATCGGAAATTTGACCCGATTGCGATTCTTTCCTTACCTAGTATAGGTAGAAAAGTAAAAAACATTTCATTATTTTAAAAATCCTATATTTTTCAGCCCTCCCCCCACCAAGATATCTTTCTACGCCCAAGACTTACCTTGGATGATGCTGGGCGATTCGAAGACGAACCTGAACCTGCCCTTTTCGCTGGTAGCATTGATGTGATCCAACTGTTGCTGATCCTCTATGATCCTCACCTCTCCCCTGTACGTCAATCCTTCCTTCAGTCCTCTCACGGTCATTCGCACGTCATTCGGAGGATAGAGCAGCGCGTTCTCAACGATCTGTTCTTGCCGCTGCAGAATGAACAAGGCGCCGACATGTTTACCTTCGGGTATGGTCTTGTTCCAATCGAACCTAACCTCTATCTGCTCCAGGATTATCTTGTCTCTCACGATCTTCCTCGACAACCGAGTCGGCTTCTGTAGCGTCGACTTGTTCTTGAAGAGGTTGTAATCGAAATGATACAGCACATCTGTGTCGTTCAAGTTGTTCTCGGTCACTTCGGTCTGATTCTTCCTGGTGGCACCACCCGGCAGTTTTGGCTTCCCGTCGACAAGGTACAGCAATGGCAGAAGTACTAAGTGGACCCACACAGCCATCAGTTCATTCAACTAAAAAAAATATAATAAAAAATAAAAAAATAAATTTTTTTTAAAAATTTTTCTTTTATCTTTTTGCTGGGAAGTTGTATGATATTCTCTGTTTTTGGCAATAATAACTTCCAATTAAACAAAAATTAATTTATTTGTTGAATTTACAAGTTTACGTTTCGCGAAATTTACTCCCATCTTCAGAACTACAATCCCAGGTTTTCTAATCGAACAATTCGGCTAAAAATGAGTTAAATAAAAATAATGCATATTACAATACATGTATATTGGGCTGAGTTGGCGATAAATGCGATCGTTTACTTACCGTGTTTACGGGTTATCCAGAGGGTACATGGACTAACTGTCCGGACGCGATCACTTCACCCCCAATAGTTTTTATTTTATTTTATAAAAATAAAACTATCTACTTTATGTCCATAATTGGTAATTGGTTGACTGTCGTGGATAATGAAGAGAAGAATAGTTGGGATGGTCAGTCAAATAGGAAGGCAAAAATAAATGATAATATTTATTTTTTACATATGCCGACGTTTCGACCTGAAGTTCAGGCCTTCATCAGGGCTGTCTCCTTAAGTGTTGCAGGGAGAAACAAACTGGCCAGAATAGGTTCTGGAATGATCCAACTAGATATTCCTCTCAACAAAAAGAATTATAAAACAGACCCTCTAAAGTTCACTGAAGGAGAAATACTCGCAAACGATTGAAGGGAAACGATGGAGTGGATTGCTGGAAGAAAGTGGCAGGATTCGTAGAGACCTCCCTAGAGGGCAAGCCGTAGCATGCTTTAGAATGCTCACAGGCCACGATTTCCTTCAGAAGCACCTCCACCGCATCGGTGTAAAAGATAGCCCGACATGCCCTCTATGTTCCTTAGACATAATGACAGGAGAACACCTTGATACATGCCCTGCATTACAGGACATAAGATGTTCCTTTAATGAAATGAACAGCTATTATGCTCGGAGAGCAAAACTGTATTGGACTGCAAGAGCACGCATGGCTGATGAAGCAGGCGTTACTTAGGCGTAGGAAAAAAAAAATTAGAATTGCGTTATTACATTAATTTTGTAATTACTTTAAGTCTAATGTGCTACATTGTCGTGTTCTAAATCCATGTTATAACAAATTATAATATATAATATCCAGTGCATCATCATGTTTGTAGACCACGGTGTCTACTAGATTTTTTGTAATGAAATATGACAGTGGCGTATTTTGGGTGAAGCAATTAAGATATGTGCTTTGGGTGCCATTCAAATGGGGACCCAAAATTCACAAAGTATGAAATTTAAAAATCCAACTTAATCAATAATACAACCAATAACCAGAAATGAGTTTTTCTCTCAAAAAGGAAATATCGGATATTTGGTAATCCATGTGGAACGGAAGCCCAGCTAGCAGATTAAAATTTGTTAAAAAATCAGCGAAGCCTTGGACCACATCAAACCGTCTTAATCGCAGAGAAGAGGTCTTCGTGACCAGGTTAAGAATAGGAAACACAAATCTTACTCATTTCTCATCACTAAGCAGCCACCACCAAATTGTTAACACTGCAGTAGCCTTCTCACAGTCAATCATATTTTCCAAGAATGCCCTTATTATACTTCAAGCCTAAATAAATTATCTCTAAAACCGGATATATCAGTAGTATTAAACAATAAATCAACATAAAAACAGTAATAGATTTTCTTAAAATAAAATATAGAAATAAATATAATTTTTATTGTATTGTGTTTTTTATTTATTTTAATATATTTAATTATTTTAAATATTTTTTCTTTTATTATTCTATCTATTATTAATTTCTAATTAATAATACTTATAGATAACAAAAATAACTGACTCATCCTAAGGTTTAACGCCATAAAGCCTAGACAAACAAACAACCAACATTCAAATAATCTCGCGATTCCTTTCCTTGGTGACTTCAGATGATACCAATGTCTACCAGAAAAAATGTCAACATACGAAATATAAGCATGGAGTATCCATACTTCAGTAAGTTAAAATTAATATTTTCGTATTTAAAGACTTTATTGTGACTTTGTACTTTATTTACATTGTTTATAATTATTTGTCTAAATATTGTGTAACTTCCACAATTCTCTATATTTTTTTGTAACTTGTCCGTTCTAGCCCTGAAGAAGGCCTGCAAAGTCGGGTCGAAACGTTGGCTTTTAATAAAATAGTTTTCCCACAATTTGGCCTATTTATGGCCGCCAATGCATTATAATGCAACGGCCAACTATTAAATATTCAATACTGTGTAAAATGTTTTTAATTGTTGTTGTTGTTTTGGGTTTAGGGACAAAAAACTGCTGGCGTTTATAATTGCCCTCAAATTGCACTGATTGATTTATTTTTCAATCTTAAATCTACTATTATAAAAGTAAATATGTTTTAAAAAAGAATAATAAAAAAATATATATAAATTACTATTAAGAAGAAACAGAAAAGGAAAAAAAAAATTATTGAGTATATAGAAATTAAGTCAATATATCCCAAATGAGAAAAAATAATTTTGTTCAGATTATTTGAATTAGCCCTATGTTCTTAATTAATTCAATGGTACAATCGATAAGTTATTCGTTATCTGTTAGTGGCTCAGAGAGCTGATGAGGTACAACACCTGCTTTTAATTAATTCTCTAAAAGATATGAAAATATTTTCTGAGAGGCTGGACCGATTTTTAATTTTCACCGCTATAATTAAGATTTCGTTAATGTTTTAAAAATCATTTTAAGTTTAAAATAGTGAAAAAAATTATTATAGTTTAATAATTTCGATTACTTATTAATTTGAAATAATATCATGTAATCCTATGTTCAAAAATTTATTTAGTTTTATTTTATTTTATTTATTTCTGAAATTTAGAACTATATAAGCAATACAACTGGTAAAATCGCACACATTGGAAATAATGACATGAACAGGCTTGGAGAGACACTGCCCAGTGGTAGCACTCCCTATTTAATTCTAGATGAGAAGATCACGTAGCCATCTTCTTTTCAGATGCCTAGGGGGATTATCAGGAATCGAGGAAGAAGCAAGGCTGGAAACAAGTGGATTAGGATGGGACTGGAGTTTATCATGAAAGTGTAGGTATCTGGCTCGGGCTAAATGAGCGACATATGGAACATTAAGGTCTTTATGAATGGTTTTATTTGTGACAAAATATGGAGCATTAAGGATTTTAAGAAGGATTTTGGATTGTAAGGATTGGATACGAGAGGAATTTGATGGTTTAGTAGAGCTCCAAACATAGATCCCGTAAGTCCAAATAAGCATTATTAAAACAATATATGTATATATGTGCCTTTTGCAAATAGTTGGAAGTTCAGAGCGTTCGTCTAGTAAGTGCTGCAATAGTCGAAAACGTCTGACGGTTTCTAGTCGTTTCAGTCTGGTATGGGGGTTCCAAGTGAGTCGTTTGTATAGGAATTCGATGGTTTGGTTGAACCCCAAAACTTCAACTGCGTTATGTTCAGAAATTAAATTGTTAATATTTTAAAAACTAAAAATTATGAAATAAAAAAATATTTGGCCTAAAAAAAACAAACCCAAAAACAAAACAAAAACAAACACATTATAGACATTCTATCCATAATACGTTGGGAGATTAAAATCTACGTATTTTTAAACTTGGTGTAGTAGTCAGCTGTCTACCATCCTCGAAGAAAACTCAAGACGTGGATGTTGGTATGCACCGATATCTATTTGCCGAAACAAAATCTATAAAATTGAATCGAAACACAGGCGGATCTACGGGGGGGGGTGCTTTCAAGATGAAGCTCCCCCCCAAAATGGTAAAATATAACCATGTTTTAAAAAATATTAAAAACTGTCTTTTAAAGTATTCTTGTTCGTTTAATTCCATTTAATAGGACTTCAAGAACCACTTAAACACCATTTCATATAGGTAGTTAATTTCTTTCTTTTTTTTTTAAATTATTTTTATGAAGATTTATGAAAAAAAAATCTTTCGGGCTGAAGCCCTCTCCCCAAAATTAAATCCTGGATCCGCTAGTGAATCGAAATCAATTTGCCTGGAGCCATAATGTGTAGTAAAAGCCAACAGAATATTACACCAAGTTTAAAAATAGGTATTGAATATTTAATAGTTGACCGTTGCATTATAAAGGAAGGAGATGGTCCGGGGTTGCGGTCATAAATAGGCTAAATAGTGGTAAAACTATTTTATTAAAAGCCAACGTTTCGACCCGACTTTGCAGGTCTTCATCAGGGCTAGAACGGACAAGATACAAAAAGATAGAGAATTGTGGCAATTGCATAATATTTAGACATAATTTATAAACAATGTGAATAAGCTTATTAAAATTATAAACAGTAAGTACAATAAAATATGGACTAAGTAAGCTGAGTAACAAGATCCTAAACTGAAGTAAATAGATGTTAACAATTGTTGTAGTGTAATATATAATAAATGAAAATGTGAGTATAATTCTATAAAATCCACAGGAGAAAAATAAAATTAGAGACTTACAGGTGTGTTCATCTAGAAGTTTCACACAGGAATCCTGGGTTTTTCATAGTTTATTTAGTTAACACATGTTAACTTCCCCAATACCTGCAATTCTTACTGTTGCCTTTCCAGTTCTAAGTGAAACTCCTAGATGAACACACCTGTAAGTCTCTAATTTTATTTTTCTCCTGTAAATTTTGTAGAATTATATTCACTTATTATATATTACACTACAACAATTGTTAACATCTATGTACTTTAGTTTAGGATCTTGTTACTCAGCTTACTTAGTCCATATTTTATTGTACTTACTGTTTATAATTTTAATAAGCTTATTCAAATTGTTTATAAATTATGTCTAAATATTATGTAATTGCCACAATTCTCTATCTTTTTTGTATCTTGTCCGTTCTAGCCCTGATGAAGACCTGCAAAGTGGGGTCGAAACGTTGGTTTTCAATAAAACAGTTTTACCACTATTTAGCCTATTTATGACCGCAACCCC